TAACTTTCTGATGAAATGGCCAAGAATCTGGAACTGCCATCATTTTCTGGGTGACAATATTATCCAGAATAAAAGAAAATGTCACTGGGTCATCATCATCCAACAAGGGATTGATAGCTTTCTCTAAACGAGCCAATTTGTCTTCTTTCTCTTTCAGTTTTCCATCACAGAGATCCAGCATGGATTGAGAGACCTGGGTCAATGAGTGCTTTGGCCCATTGTAGGTTGTACTATTTTTCACAATGAGCTCCAAATGCTCTCTGAACTCTTTCCGAGATGGGTAGAGGCGTTTACGTACATTTTCACAAAGTGTCTGTAAGTCCATTGGTCAAGTAATAATTTTGTAGTAGTCCTTTACAACCTTCCCATTGACTGGAGTGTGGAAAGGGTAAGTATTTGGAAGATCTCTCAGGTCGTTGATGATAGACTCTAAGATAGATGACAGTGTCACCGTGGGGTCTGTCCGGTGCCGGTGGATGGTCTTATGAGGTCTATTCATATAGTCACAGTGGAAGTGGTTCAAACTCGCCGTTTCTTCTTAGGAGGGAGTTGCTGTTTAGGGAACTTGAGAACCAGAGACTTTCTGCGAACCTCATCTGCACTCTCAATTAGCTGTTTCCCCAAAACAATCTTGGTCCCTTCAACCTTGATAAGTTCTTCACTATCATTATGAATGACTGTCTTTTCCAACTCTTCTTCCTCTTCCTCTGTCATGGCAACAGGATTGGAAGGTAGAGCACTTGTTTGATAATAGAGGGGGCAGCATTTGTTTGTCCTCATGTGCCCAATGGCTCCACAAGCCCCACATTTCAGTTTTAGGTCAGGACGCTCATTCACCTTTTTGGGCTTTTTCTCAGGAGAACCCTTAAGCTTCTCCTTCTCCCGGTTCCGCTTAAGCCGCCTCAGCTGCTCTTGAATCCTCCGCCGTTCTTTTCGCATCTCTTCTCGACGCTGTTCATCAAAAAGGGCGAATTTTCGAATGAACGCCTCACCTTTTGTAATCCGTATGCGCACATAGGCATCTATGACAGCTGGCTTTCGGACCGTCTCACAGCGAACATATTCTTTCCCCTCTTCATCTCGAAATGTGCGATAAATCTTGAGACAACGGCCAGTGGCAGAAGAGTTCAGGCTAGTCACAGAAGCTGTATCATCCTCTCTGTGATGGTTTCCTGGTGCTGCCGAACCTGCTGCCAGTAGCATCCTCTGTAGTTCCTTCCGCTCCTGCTCCTCCCGTTCTCGTGACAGCTGAGAGCTGGTTTTCTTATTCTGCAACATGTTCTCTATAGCCTTCCCCATTTCTTCAAAGTCACTGTCTTCAGCTGAGCTGCTATCTGTATCCGTTGATAAGACTTCAGTTGATGACAAAACCTTGTTTTGTAGGTCAAAGATGCGTTGACATTCCTCTTTGTAACGTTCTTGATGCTCAGCCACAGAAAACCTTGATCCACGGGCAAATTTACTCATTGGCCCTTCCCCAGAGTGGGCCTGTTCTGTTGACACTGTGCGCACCACATCAATCACTTCCCAGCGGGACAACTTTTTCATCTCTTCCTCAGGCACGCCAAATTTATGTAGAAGTTGCTTGGCATTTTTCAAAGAGAGGCGACGGAGGTCTGCATCTGTTCCTGTCACTGTTTTCTTCACTGGCTGAGGCTCTTTATCATCCTTCTGTTGTGTTGGTTTGTTTGGAATCTTCACATAGGAAAATCCTTCACCACACCCTGTGGGATCTGCCACCCCAGTCACCTCCAAGAGACACTTGCCCTTCATGGCAGCAATGAAGGCCCTTGTGGTGTTCCAAGGAGCAGTGCGAACCTCATCATCAGTCTTCATCTGGAAATCTTCCTCGTTTTCTTTTTCTGGAGCAAAAAAGGACTTCTCGCCATAGCCAGCGTCCTTGAGTCGCTGCTCTGCAGCTCTCATACTGTAATAAGCACAGCACTGCTCTGGAGACACCATAGCTCTGATCTCCTCTTCAGTTGGTAAACGAAAATCAGACTTCAGCACCCACCAATTTGAGTCCATCCCTGTGCGTTTGAAGTCAGCACAGAGCTTTAGCCTCTTCCAGATGCTGCTTTCTGAATGACAGGGAAAGGCTGTTTTTATATCTTCCATTCGGATCCGCCGTGGCCGATCTGCACTCTTCCAGAAGAGGCGGTAAATAAAAACCTGGAGAAAATCTCGAATATGTGTATTGGCCCTTTTGGAGTTGGGCCCAGGAACTTCAAACAAGGGGCACTGCTGGCCAACCACAAAGATATCCACCAATTCCCGAATGTAGTAACCTTGTCTTGTCCTAATGATAAGGAAATA